TAATGTTTGTGACTCCTCTAATCTCTTCCCTGCGTCCCTGCCGAGAACGCCATGTTTAGACTAGCACTGAGCATGTTGCTAGCTATCTCCTTCTGTGAATTATTCAGTCCTATCACATTCTGGCTGAATACGCTCTAAGACTGATCTGAAACCAGCATGTCTTCTCTTCTGCCAGCCCCGCATGTTCATTAATGGGTGTGCTCTTGAGTTGCTGAGGTCACGTGCATCAAGTTAGCCTCCAAAGAACCAGAGTGCTAATTTTAGGGCTAAGGCCACATAGAGTTTCTTAGCGTGTGCCTTAGCACACTGTGCTAACAGCAACCCAGATGGACAGCTCAATTAGGCTGAGCTAATGGACTGAAGCTGAAACATTGTGTTAACCAAGGCTAATGAAGCTACCAACTCTGTGCCTTCAGAAAACATTTAACTCTTGACTTCTCTCCAGAGATGATGGTATAGCTTGAATTAAAATTGATTACATTTATTTGATAAAATCTCCATAGAATATACAGAAATGAGATTGAAAACTGTTTTGGTGATTGTCTTCATCTCAAACAGCAGGTTTGTCTGCTATGCGTTTTACCTTCAAACCGTTGATGTGTAAAGGCTGGCTAATTTTATATGGGCAGAATGACACGCACAGTCCCACCTACAGTGCACAGTAGGAAAGCTGCTCTCTGTGTGCGTCATCTAGTGAAGCTGAGCGTGTGGTTACTATAGTAACCACATACTCACCTTGTTTATACAGTATAAAAACTGTGTTTGTATGTGTTGCTACAGGTCCACCCGGAGAATGAGGACTGGACTTGTTTTGAGCAGACTGCCAGTCTGGACATCAAGTCTTTCTTCGGCTTTGAGAGCACAGTTGAAAAGATTGCTATGAAACAGTATGCGAGCAGTATCAAAAAGGTGAGCATTGTGGCATCAGATTATTTCATGTTCACATTTTCTTTGTACTTTCTGCATATGCATAGAAATGTAAGTTTACAACATCTGATTAGCTGCTTGGTGCAGCTGCATATGCTGCATGGGTTATGCAATTTTCACATAATATTGTGTGAAATTTGGTCCTAAAAGGTTTCTGGAGCATGAGTCAGTCCATCATGCTATATTTGCATAAATAAGCTTGTATAATCTCTTAGAGTGGAGAGGGGTCTTCTGTTGTGAACCCAGTGAGTCATCAAGCTACAGTACATTTAAAATGGATGGACAATCCTTTACTTGTATTTTCTCCCTCTGTTTCATTTGCCTACCACTTTAGTTGGAAATACTAAATGCTTCAGCCTTATTTGGTTTGAATAAAGAATGTATTATGTGTATAGTTGGTCTGTATTCCAAATTTCTGTTAAATCACCTTTTCTATAATTAACATCCTCTTCTGCCATTCTTGTCATAAATGTCACAGGGAAAAGAAATCATCGAGTTCTACTTGAAGGAGCTAGAAGATGAAGGCATCACCCACATGCCCCGCTGGGCTCCCTCCCCTCTTTCTCTGCCTCCCCCCAGGCCAACCAGTCTCTGCACCAGACAATCTGACCTCTTGAAACTTGTGGTCACACCTGCCGTTTCTGCTCCACTGCCCACCGACACCAAGGACAGCACCTCACAGGACACCAAGCAGGACAGCAGTGCACTTCAGGCCGACAGCCTAACTGAGATCCTGGCTGGAACACCTGATGGTGTGTTGCTCCAGATGACTGACATGAATAGCAAAGCCAAATGAGAAAGTAACATGGATGACAACACATGGTTGTTTTGATTTCAGTAAAGTCATGTTTCACATTATATCACCCTGGTGTCAGTTTTACTTGTGTTTGCCTGTATTGTGTTAATCAGAGATGTTTTTGTATTGCAGACAAGCTGGATGCAGATTATATCAAACGTTACCTAGGTGACCTGACCCCCCTGCAGGAGAGCTGTCTGATCAGACTCCGCAAGTGGCTGCAGGAGACACACAAGGGAAAGGTCATGTTTTGATTTGTATCTGTAAGAATGAAGTGAAATAGAATAATATTTTTGGGTATGATGTCAAATTTTAAGATTTACTGCCCTCCTCCAAAATGAATCATTTTGCACAAATGTGCAGTCTGTCCAACACAAAAAGTTCAGTTGTAGTAGACTTTGACTCATATTTTAGTCTGACAGCTAAGAGCTACTGTTGCTGCAGCACCAGTGGGCTGTTTAAATTAGCCAGCGGACAGTGACATTGGCAGTGGTTTGAAAGTTATAAAAATGATTGTTCTTTTGCTACGTTTCCATGAGTTTGTTCACAAATTATCTAAAGCGCAACACTCTCCCCTTACTATTCAGATCCCTAAGGATGAGCACATCCTGCGTTTCTTGCGGGCGAGGGACTTCAACATGGACAAGGCGCGGGAGATTCTCTGCCAGTCGTTGACCTGGAGGAAGCAGCACCAGGTGGACTACCTGCTGGAGACCTGGAGCTCACCGCAGGTCCTCCAGGACTACTACACTGGGGGCTGGCACCACCATGACAGAGGTTTGCATCTAAGTGAAACGGGTAAAAATGTTGCAATCTTGTGTGCGCGTGCATACTCTCACAGGCCCATTTATGGTTTATGTAGGCCAGCTCGAGGCTGGCTATTCTTGTACTGTTTAACTAGAGAAGGATCTCGCTTCTCCAGTTTCTTACAGACTCAAGTTACACACACAAGTCATTCTTAGCAGCCCACAGCCTTCAGCATGCAAGTGAATTAAATATAAAGCTAATTTGTCAGCTCTACTGCAATAGCTTACACAGACTCACCCAGTCGGATTCTTCATTTTGGTGGATGCTGTGGTTTACTTATTTAGGACAGAGGGTGTCTAGTGACAAATCAGATTTAAGTGGATTTTATATTCTCACATCTGTGAAGAGGGAACATCTTCTTATTGCAGACTTTCCACAGGTATTTGTGAGGGATCAACAGGGACAAAACATGAAAGCATTTCTCAGTGTACACTTATTATCTTGCACAACAGAAGAGCAGATGGGCAAATAATGCAGACCTTTGTATTGAACATGCAGGCTTGTAGAAGATCAACACTGTGATAAATCATGTAAATATTGGTCTTTTTCCTCTAGATGGTCGTCCTTTGTACATCCTGAGGCTGGGCCAGATGGACACTAAAGGACTGGTCCGTGCTCTCGGAGAGGAGTCTTTGCTCAGACATGTACGTAACACAAGTTGCAGCATACTTTTAAGTTTGCGTTTAGTAATGTGGGTAGACAGGTTTTTAAGTCATTTGGATTACAGGTTAGGGAATTAAAGAGCAGTGGCCTGTCCTGACAAGTGTCTTAATAGCAGATTCTTTACAGCTCAGTACATGTATAAAGAAACTGTAAGTTGCTCTGGTTTGCATTTGGTCATTGCATAAACATTGTCATTTTAGGTGCTGTCTATCAATGAGGAGGGTTTGAGGCGCTGTGAGGAGAACACCAAGGTGTTTGGGCGACCCATCAGGTAAAACTCCAGTACACTGAAATGTAGCTGGAAACTATAATAAGTGTGCTTTTAGTGGATCATCAGAAAATGAAGAAACAATTTAAGTCATTTATCAGGAAATACCACCAACAGTCTCTGGTTCCACCTTTGTACAGTTGCTGTTTGTCTCTGTTTTATTTACTGAAATCTTAGATTTTTCGACTAGTTCATTAGGAATTAGTGATGGCATTCTCTACTTTTTTTCTGACAGTAAATAAATTTTATTGTCAAGGTTTTTTCATTATGTTCAGTGAAATGCAGGGTGGCATACTCCTGAGAGACTGCTAAATAGGCTAGAGTGCAATCAAGAAGACAAATTGAAATAAGAATAAAAATGTGCTGGACCATGCAAAGGATTCACAAAGGACAGAAGTCATCACTTAACATATAGATGAGAAAAAAGCTCAATGAAGGTCATTCGTTGTTGTTCCAGATCGGTGCTAACTCCCCAGTAACAATATAGCAGAAACTTTACATTTGCTGGTAGATAAAGACACAGGATTATGTCTTATCTTTTTAGCACCAAAAGTCATGCAAATGAGTGGGATTCAGATGGACACAAGTGTGCATATACAGACACACACCAGGAGTGAGTCCATAGGAGTGTTATCACCAACAATATGGAAAGAATGCATGAGGCTCGCTCCTGAGTGCACAGATTCAGCTGGAGATAGAGAGGTTCAGAGGGAGAGAGTGGACATTGTATCTGTCATCTGTCAGCCCTCTCACCCAGGAGGAGGTGGCTGGGATTTGAGCCATGCAGGAAGACATGAGCTATGAATGGCTATCACGTCATCGCTCTTAACCAGAATAGATCCAGGGAGACGGAGGATGTGGTAGAGGGATCGACAGTTAGCAAACGTTGCCTTCACCACTTTACCTCTCTTCAGGGTGGCAGGTGCTAAGTGGCCGGAAAGAGGCTGTAGCCCAGTTGTGTCTGAGTGTGTGCTTGTGGCTTGAGTTAATCGTCTCACTTCCTCCGCTGTAGCTGTTGGACATGTCTGGTAGACCTGGAGGGGCTGAACATGCGCCACCTGTGGCGGCCAGGAGTCAAGGCACTGCTGAGGATCATTGAGGTTGTGGAGGCCAACTACCCAGAGACTCTGGGAAGGCTGCTCATCTTGAGAGCTCCCAGAGTCTTCCCTGTCCTCTGGACACTGGTGAGAACCAGGAGGGACACACACTAGCTCAAACAATGTGTTGGCATCCTCTGACCATACCAGTTTATTTGGATTTGAAAGGTGTTTATTATATGCTCCAACCTCCTTTTCATATATCTAGATATAACAGCACTATGGTCATTTACCAAATAGCAAATGCAAGGTTTACAAACTGGTAACTCACAACTACACACATTCTATCTTGCTCTCTTTATAGCTGCAAATTCATAAGTTTTTTGCCCTTGAATAACTAGGATACATCCAGTTTGATGTGTCCATGACTCATACTCCTGCCTCTGGCCTTAGGTGAGTCCATTCATCGATGAAAACACCCGCAAGAAGTTCCTGATCTATGCAGGCAATGACTACCAGGGTCCTGGAGGGCTGGTGGACTACATCAACAAAGAGATTATCCCTGACTTCCTGGGAGGAGAGTGTATGGTGAGTGTCTCGTTTAAACTTGCAGATATTATGTGAGGATATAATTGAATTCAGAATCTGAACCCTGTGGGACATGACACCACCCACATTGAGCTCTCCTTTACTAACCCAATTCCATATGTGGATTTTGTTTTGTGTGTGTGTGCGTGTACATGCATGCCTTTCCTCTGCAGTGTGAGGTACCAGAAGGCGGCCTGGTTCCCAAGTCAATGTATCGCACAGCGGAGGAGCTCGAGAACGAGGATGTCCGCCTGTGGACTGAGACAATCTACCAGTGCGCCAGCATCTTTAAGGGAGCTCCACATGAGGTAAGGGTGAGCTTAAGAGCACCAAAGCAAGAAGTAATGATGGGAAGCCTGCAGTGATGTTTCTAAGTGAATGTAGGGCAGGACAACAGAGAGCCGCATGATTTCCCTTTTGCAGGTTGTGTGGGATGGGCTGCCATCTAGTGGTTGCAACTTGTAAATGACCTCTCAATAGTTTCTGAATTAATTAATAGTGCAACAAATATGGCATGCCTTTGAAATATAATCTGCTACTAATTAATACCAGAGGGATAGATGCATCATCATACATAATCACTCTCCTGGAAGCAGTTTTGATTTCATGGTAATGAGCCCATAACCATGTAAACAATGTTTACATCTTTCTCACTTAGCTCATGCTTAAAGATGGAGCAACATGATAAGAATACAGAATTTTGAGTTTCATTTCCTTGAGTACACAACTGCTCCACATAACAGAAATAAAGAGTGTAAGGTTCACTGACATTGTTCCTGTCAAAGAAAAGATTACTTTTGTTCTTGGTTTTCTCTCCTGAAATAACTCTTTATTCCAATTTCTGCCTTCCCTCCCTGCTCTTGGTCTCCAACCAGCTGCTGATAGAAATCATAGATGCCTCCTCAGTGATCACCTGGGACTTTGATGTGTGCAAAGGTGATGTAGTTTTCAACATCTACCACTCCAAGCGAGCCCCCCAGCTTCCTCGTAAAGACCCCCTCGGAGCCCACAGCATCACTTCCCCGGGTGGCAACAATGTCCAGCTTATTGACAAGTCATGGACGCTGGGGCAAGATTACAGCATGGTGGAGTCCCCACTCTCCTGCAAGGAGGGCGAGAGTGTACAGGTGAGGTTCTAGGATCAGAAATCTGTGCATTTTGTCCCACAGGATTTTTCTAAAATATATGAAGTGAGTAGTTTCTTTCTTGCTTGTCTTGCTTGTCAGTCATTGGTGGTATATGTGCCATGCCTCTCTCCTTTTTCAGGGCTCCCATATAACGAGATGGCCAGGTTTCTACATTCTCCAGTGGAAGTTCCACAACATGCCAGCCTGCTCGGCCACCAACCTGCCCCGAGTGGATGACGTGTTGGCCACCCTGCAGGTCTCCTCGCACAAGTGTAAAGTCATGTACTACACTGAGGTGTTGGGCTCTGAGGATTTCAGGTTGGTAACTCTGTGCGTGTTATGAGTGAAAGACAAAGACAGACATTTATGTCCATGCTTTAAACGTGTGTTCACATTTTTGCTCTTCTAAGGTTCTACCATGATGTTGTGATGGTTTTAATTTCAGACACTCTTCCTTCATGATTGCTCATTTTTCACTCCTGTCTTCTTTCAGTTGTCCCCCTCTACAACCACATAGTGCCACGTTTGACGTATGACGAAATCTGTAGTGTTGCTAAAATGACCCTATGAGATGCTTTAAGAGCATCCTGAGTGTTTAGATCCTTAGTTTAGCAATGAGGATGCTTCCCTCCCTCGGAGACTCCTTTAACCCAGGTTTTTCTATCCAATCCGCTCTTGTTCTGTTGCCCACAACCCCGTCCTCCTCCTCCTTCCTCCTGCTCTGACTTCTTCCTGTAAAGAACGGCTTGCTGTGATGTGCAGAGTTTGTAAGTGGCTTGACCATTTTTGCTTTAGCCCTAGCTCATCCTCATGCTTTTTGGCTGCTAATATGAATGGCGCCCCCTGTGGCAGATCTGCTTCTGATGTAGTGAAGAGTTGCTTGTTTACATCAGTTCTTGCTTACAATTGTTGTTAGCACTGGTTAAGGGGATGTTGGTGCTTTGTTCACACTGAAGAAAGAGTCCTTGCTCTCAGACAACAGTCTAACTTGCTCTTATCCACTCGCTGGCTTCAGACAGCCTGCCTGCATGGCTAACAATATCAGGAATCAGATGCTGTTCAGCACACTCGCGCTTAACTGCTGTATACCCAAGTGCACATGTGCATTTTTTTAACCCACATCCAAAGACATCTGGCATTTGTTCTTGTTTTTCCACACTCATACATTTGTACAGCCAACCCATGTACTCATTTTACTTAACAGTGCAGCTGCTGTTTAATTTTTCTTTGCCTTCTGCAGCAGTTTTGAAATGACCACCCCATTCATTCTAGTAGTATCCATCAGTATGTTTTGCTTATGGGTTGACACATTTGGTTGAGATTAAGATTTCTAAATATGTCAAACACCAACCTGAGCTAACAAAATGGAATTTAAGTAACCCTTTCATTTTCCATGTCTGTAATGTGTCGAATGTACCTGCATAGCAACCTATGAACACATGTAAAGCAATCATAATGTGATGGGAAAGTGGTTCCCAACCTTTGTTTTGCTTCAACCCTTTTTAAAACGAGGCAATATTGACTTATATTGAATTAGTTTGGCCATATCGGTGACCATTTAAACCTAAGTGTTATTTTTACTTCATGACTTGTTTGATTTAAGTATTTCTCTTTGCAATGCCTTTAATCATCCAGTGATCCTTTGGTGGGTTGTGACAGGATGCTAGTAACAGCAAAGACTACTGAAACCATCAGTCGTCGTTTAAGTCCTTTATTATGCAAACATGCCAAACCTTCTCTAATGTGATGGTTTGCTGATATTTTTATATCATTTCAAATGTACAGGTTTGTACTGTTTGTCACCTTTCCACTTTTGATGGGAGTTTTTTTTCCATTAATTTCTAATATTTTATGGACTCATTCAGTTGCAGCTGATTATTTCCAAATACATGTAGTTACTAGCTGCCACACTATATAATGGCTTCCAAGGCAAAGTATCACAGTTACTCATAATCACTTAACCCCTTTGCTTTAAAGATTATTAGGCCCTAACATAATGGTGCTCTCTTTAGAGACAATGAATGGAGACTGTGCCTTTGTTACTACATATTAGACTTTCATGCAAGACATCCTAATGACTTTGATAGTTTGTCATGCTTCATGTAGGTACAGTATATATGATACATTATAGACATGGGCTCATAATATTGACAAAACTTACATGTGGACTTCATATTGAAGAAATACACCAAGCAGCCAGTTTTTGATAAAATGTGTCAAAGCTCTGTTAAACTTATTTGTGCAGAAATTAATGCAAAAAACTTCATGCTTTGCCACAGGCACTCAAACCTTCAAACGTGCAACAAAGCCAGAGGTCTTTCTGGTTTTGCACATGAGACAAAGAGGATGGGCTTCTGCCCTCAGTACAACACAGCCTATGGTGAACTCCAGCAGGAACACTTTTCTCCCCATCCTCACACACCAACCCTTTCCTACCTGATTCTGTTGGTGTTTGCAGCCTCTGGCAGAGCCTGACTGTTACGTGGCACACAGATTGAATTAATCTCCCTCCTGTGAGCTTGATCTGGCTGCATGGTTCTGCATCTTGAGCACGGGTTGTGCACACAGAATGCATTCATTTAGTCACTGACTGGGCTTGCTCAGGTGTGGGGTACATGGAAAATAAAAGTAGAAGCGTGTCATGTATCCACTCACATTCTCTCTGGGTCTCTCTTTTCTCTCAGGGGTTCAATGACCAGTCTGGAGTCGAGCCACAGCGGCTTCTCTCGGCTCAGCGCTGTCACCACCTCCTCCAACCAATCACAGTCCAGCTCAATGATCTCCAGGTAGAAACTGGAGGCTGAGGACTTCTGTCCCCACTGCCCCACTCCCCAAATGCCCTTACCATCAGCACTGAAGCCAACTCTCCTCTTGCCTCCCCTCCTCATCTTTGGAATCTGTTCCTATTGCACAGCCAGTCTCCATGGAACTGAAGCATGCTTGCACAAACAGAAGACAAAGAATAAAAAAAAAAATTCTGAGGCAAAAAGAAAATACAGAGACTCTGTATACAATTTAAAGGGCTGATTTTTTTTGCACAAAGGTCATATTTTTCATGCCTAGCACCTCTGCTGGATGGCAGTTTGAATCAGAACATTAGCTGAATGTTTGTGTTGCGTCTCCAGCAGGGTGAAGAGGTTAAAGTTCAGGAGTTGAGGTTTCTTGTGGCACTGGAAGCTGAAAGAAGCAATATTCTCATCCTCTGAGCTATGAGACCGGAGGACGATACTGGAGGCGCTGTTACATATATATGCATTTACATGCACACCCACATAAACAATACTGAGACGACGTATACCTCGTTCATGTGCGTCGGCTAAAAAAAAGACTGGATGTGCTGTTACATACAAAAAAACACATACATACACACATGGGCATCTGATGACATGCAAAAATGTATGGTTTGCCATATTGTTACCAGAGGGGTTTGTTCAGATCTGGTGAACTGTTTATAGGTCAAGTGTGGGTGGATGAGGTCAACTCCTAACCAGACCTGGGTTGAATATCACCTACAAATAATGTTATATTTTTTCAAACCACTGGGTGGAGCTCACTGTATCAGGACAATACAGATGATGTCAGCTAAGTTGCTAGTTGATGGGAAGTGAGAATCTTCCCTGCGACTGTGAACGTTCTGGCATTCATTCTTTTGTCTTTATGAGGTAAACCCCACCTGTCTCTCTCACGAGGGCTTTATTACACCTGCAGAAGCATTTGACTCTTTGACTTGGGTCTGACTCTCGCGAAGTAATGCGCTAGAAGCAATAATGAGTTTGACTTCCTACTGTGTGAAATATTTCTATTTATCATTAAGATGTTTGTGGAGGATCATGTGTGCTATTTGGAGATGACCTTTTTATTTTGTACAGGCAGACAGACGGGCAAACTGAGCCACTAAACAACTAAATTCCGTGCCATCAACATTATCACTTGTCATGTCCAGAGAGAAACACAAATAACTTGCCAGATTTTCTCCTGGATGTGTTTTCTTATCTTCATACATTCAAAGCTACAATAACTATTGCTCTGAATAGCCGTGGTTAGTTTGCTTTCTGTCAGGCATCTGCACGATTAAGGAACTTGAGTCAAAGTCAAGTCATCAAGAAGATGCCTTGTCGCTGATTTGTGGATGTGCTACTGATTGGCTAGCGCTCGCTGGCCAATGAAATGCCTGAATTTGGAGGGTTGTGGTACAATTGGGCAGAACTGGCAGAACCATCTCATCATCATCTTCTGTTTTGGTATAAAATTCAGTGTGCTTTAGGGATGAATGTTACTTTGTGATTATCATTTGACGGTGCGCCAGTAGATGGCATATTGATAGTGTACATGTGCTGTGTGGAGTTTGTTACTGTTTTTCACAGATGAATCCTTGTTGGGGAGAAGCAGTGTGGTATGTTACTGTGTGTAGTGACTGGGTTTACATATCTATTATTTAATACTAAGATAAAGCCATTAAGAGCCATGTGTCAATACTATTTTAACTATTTTAGTCTTCACATAGAGATGTACCTGCTTTTTTCAAGGTCATCACTGTAATAGATGAGCAAGTGTGAATAAGACGAACATTTCTAAATGCATGTATAACCGTTTTTAAATACAGGTTATTTGGTTAATAAGCACTGACTTCACATCCACCCGACTCCAAGTAGACGACAGTAACGATCAGTGCCAAAAGTCATCCGGTGCTGTTGCCGTGGTTACCAAGTGCAGCTGACAGCAAAAAAAAAAAAAAAAAAAGGCAGTGAGTCAGAGGTTCTCTCCTGAAATTACTGGCCCTGCCTGTTGTTTTTTGGTACATGAACCTGCTTGTCTTTCAAGGGTTAACTATATGTCATTAACTGCAATAACATGAAATTCTTTACTGAGAAAAAAAGACTTCAGATTGAGAACTATTAAGTGTGTATGATGGTGTAAAAGAATGAACGTTAGTAGTAGTGGAATAAAAGAGCTGCCTGTAAAATGTGGGTAAACACTCCCTCTGACCACGTTGGCAAGTGTTTTTCCTCTACTTGGTCTCTTCTCGCTCTGAAGCACGTCTAAAACCACATGACTAATTCTCCTGCTTATTCCTTCTGTAGATTTGGTTTCTGCTTTAGTTTGATAAAACAACAAACAGAATCATTTCTGACCTATTTACTCTGATATATCCTCTTTTCTCTGTCTACTGGTTTTCCACTTGTACACCTCAGTCATTTTGCTTTCACACTTCCATTGTGAGCCTTTTATTGAAACTGTAGGCATAATGAAGTGTACTCCGTTTATATATTACTGTGTTTCATGTCTTCATTGTTTAAAATACCAGAAAACTTCCTGGTCTGTCTCCCGCCTCTGACTTGAGCTCCTACATTGTATACGCTATTCATCAGGATCTCATTGACAAGTGAGGGCTATAACTGTTTGTCTTGACTGCTTCCTTTTCTGACGTTGCATATCTTTTCTTTACCTTGATGAAATAAATTATCTAAAATAAAAAAAGTTTGAATTAATGAGAATATGGCGCCTTTACATTTTTTGAAAACAAACTTGAGATGTGAGAAAATGTATTCATCTGTGTGAAATTAATTAGATTACCTTATGACTTTGGGAATTTTATGTGGTCGAGAAGTTGTGTGTATAAACTTTCAAAATGTATAGAATAACTGGTTATATACAGTGCCTTGCGAAAGTATTCGGCCCCCTTGAACTTTGCGACCTTTTGCCACATTTCAGGCTTCAAACATAAAGATATAAAACTGTAATTTTTTGTGAAGAATCAACAACAAGTGGGACACAATCATGAAGTGGAACGAAATTTATTGGATATTTCAAACTTTTTTAACAAATAAAAAACTGAATAATTGGGCGTGCAAAATTATTCAGCCCCTTTACTTTCAGTGCAGCAAACTCTCTCCAGAAGTTCAGTGAGGATCTCTGAATGATCCAATGTTGACCTAAATGACTAATGATGATAAATAGAATCCACCTGTGTGTAATCAAGTCTCCGTATAAATGCACCTGCACTGTGATAGTCTCAGAGGTCTGTTTAAAGCGCAGAGAGCATCATGAAGAACAAGGAACACACCAGGCAGGTCCGAGATACTGTTGTGGAGAAGTTTAAAGCCGGATTTGGATACAAAAAGATTTCCCAAGCTTTAAACATCCCAAGGAGCACTGTGCAAGTGATAATATTGAAATGGAAGGAGTATCAGACCACTGCAAATCTACCAAGACCTGGCCGTCCCTCTAAACTTTCAGCTCATACAAGGAGAAGACTGATCAGAGATGCAGCCAAGAGGCCCATGATCACTCTGGATGAACTGCAGAGATCTACAGCTGAGGTGGGAGACTCTGTCCATAGGACAACAATCAGTCGTATACTGCACAAATCTGGCCTTTATGGAAGAGTGGCAAGAAGAAAGCCATTTCTTAAAGATATCCATAAAAAGTGTTGTTTAAAGTTTGCCACAAGCCACCTGGGAGACGCACCAAACATGTGGAAGAAGGTGCTCTGGTCAGATGAAACCAAAATCGAACTTTTTGGCAACAATGCAAAACGTTATGTTTGGCGTAAAAGCAACACAGCTCATCACCCTGAACACACCATCCCCATTGTCAAACATGGTGGTGGCAGCATCCTGGTTTGGGCCTGCTTTTCTTCAGCAGGGACAGGGAAGATGGTTAAAATTGATGGGAAGATGGATGGAGCCAAATACAGGACCATTCTGGAAGGAAACCTGATGGAGTCTGCAAAAGACCTGAGACTGGGATGGAGATTTGTCTTCCAACAAGACAATGATTCAAAACATAAAGCAAAATCTACAATGGAATGGTTCACAAATAAACATATCCAGGTGTTAGAATGGCCAAGTCAAAGTCCAGACCTGAATCCAATCGAGAATCTGTGGAAAGAACTGAAAACTGCTGTTCACAAATGCTCTCCATCCAACCTCACTGAGCTCGAGCTGTTTTGCAAGGAGGCATGGGCAAAAATTTCAGTCTCTCGATGTGCAAAACTGATAGAGACATACCCCAAGTGACTTACAGCTGTAATCGCAGCAAAAGGTGGCGCTACCAAGTATTAACTTAAGGGGGCTGAATAATTTTGCACGGCCAATTTTTCAGTTTTTTATTTGTTAAAAAAGTTTGAAATATCCAATAAATTTCGTTCCACTTCATGATTGTGTCCCACTTGTTGTTGATTCTTCACAAAAAATTACAGTTTTATATCTTTATGTTTGAAGCCTGAAATGTGGCAAAAGGTCGCAAAGTTCAAGGGGGCCGAATACTTTCGCAAGGCACTGTAACTGGTTTATAATTGACTAAAAATAACAATGCGTCAATCACCAAACTTGGAAGATGTTTGGTCTTATCATTGTTTTCATGTTTGCCACATCACTGGCTTCAGTAATAATCAGAGAAGATGGTCCCACTCACCTGAATTTCCTGATTGCAAATTATTATTATTATTTTTTATTTGTTTTGTTTTTAAAGCTGAAATGTTCCCTCCAGGTACCATCAGTTCTGTGGGAGAGGACAAATCATTGTTACTGTATTCTGGTGGACAAAAGCAATGTCACAGCTGTTGATGTTGTTTTTAATTCCCAGATCAAAGATATTGAATGCTCAAAAGTAAAAGCAAGATTCTTGGCTGAGATCACACAGTTGTCAAGAAACAGTTCTGTCTGACTCATTTGATGTCTGTGTGGAGCAGCAGCTCACAGTGCCCAGAATCTAGAAGCAGGAAGTTACACAACACCCAGCTTTTACAGTTCGAAATGCTTATAAGTGGTGTGATTATGATTTGTGATTATTGGTTTAGCAGAGCAAATTAATTCCATAACCAAATACAGTTTGGCCAAGAGGTGAGATAAAAAGAAGAGCAGAGAACTGTGAGGAGAGCCCTGAGGTGCCCCACTTTCACATATAATTTAGATATACCAAAGGTTTAAATTACGTTCTGCTGCTATTGTAGGTTCTATGTCACAGAAATATGTGTTGGACTGTCTATTCTGTAGCTTACACATTAGGCTACATATTTTATGACTTGATCATTTGAGTCACAGTTTTCAGTGATGAAGGTGGCTTAGATGAGCTCGTATGTGACTTGGTGTCATCCCTTGGTCCTCTTTTATCTAGCACACTGTTTTGTTAGAGGTTTTATCTTTAGGGGTGTTATACAGTAAGTGCTTCTTTCATCAGGCATTAGGCCACCTCCTTTGTCTGGTGAGTTATAGTTATTAAATTATAATTGGTGCATTCATTTGCATCAATAATGTTGCAAATGCTAAAGATGGGGTTAATTTTAATTATTTTACATACGCCTAGGTAGTTTAATCCTCAGTATTTACTTGTTGAATACATTAATCATTTGAATTAGCAAAGCAACCTGTAAGCAGTAATCTTAATCAGTAAAAGTAGTGCAGTAAGAAGTACAATATCCATCCATCCATTATCTATACCTCTTATCCCTTAACAGGGTCATAGGGAGCTGGAGCCAATCCCAGCTGACACTGGGTGAGAGGCGGGGTACACCCTGGACAGGTCGCCCCAGTCTGTCACAGGGCTGACACTTAAGAGACAGACAACCACACACACTCATACTCACTCCTAGGGGCAAATCAGAGTCACCAATCAACCTAAGCTGTGTGTCTTTGGATTGTGGGAGGAAGCCGGAGTACCCAGAGAGAAGTACAATATTTGCCTCTTAAATGTAATGAAGTATAAAGTAGCATATTTAAACACAAAATTGTGCTTAGGTACAGTAGTTGAGTAAATGTATTTAGCTGCATGCTGCCGCTGATAAATGGATCCTCCAGGAAAATAAATTCTTACTACAATTGCAATGCATGGATACTTCTTCCTACTGGCTATAGTTATTGTCACTCACAAACTTTTGGAAAAAATGGCTTACTTGTAATTGACATATATTTAACGAGGAATCGCCAAGATGCATATTACAGTAAGTACAGTAGAGTAAAATACAATACTGTATTTCAGAAGTCGTTCATTTCTATATGTAATTTGCAATTTCAACCACTAGATAGCAGTATTTACTCGTATAACTCCCAACGCCATACTGACGTAAGCTAGTGACTCCGGTCTGGTGGGTGGGTCTGTCCAAACACACTGTGTACGACGGTCTGGATGTGCGTAAAGCAGCGTTTGAGTGTATGTACACCCTGCTGGACAGCTGCCTGGAAGGGCTGGACGTCCTGCAGTTCCTGGATAACGTAGAGGAAGGACTCAAGGTCCACTACGACATCAAGGTGGGTGGAAGACACGTGCAGCAGCACTGACAATCACAAACATCTCGCTGCTCTCCCACTTCTTAACTGTGTGTTTGTGGGTGTATGTTTCTGCAGATGCTGACGTTCCTGATGCTGGTCAGACTGGTGTCTCTGTGTCCTGCTGCCGTTCTGCAGAGACTGGACCGACTGGTGGAGCCACTTA